TGCATGACCCCATCTTACAGGGTAGGGAACTGAGGGTCAGAGAAGTTGCCTTGATCATGTTCCGTTACTCCAAGGCCTGTTATGTGGACAAGCAGTCAGGACCAGGGGGCAGAGGTGACACAGTGGGGGCTGATTTCTGCTCAGCCCATGGAAGAGCTTTCTAACACTTGTTGCTGCCCTGAGATGGACTGCGCTACCCATCTCTGCAGGGGAGCGGCGGGATGAGTCCTTGGCCCAACTGTGGCCTCAGGGAGTGGCAGGCTTGGTGACATTGAAGCCCTTTCTGGCATTAGACTGGATACATCTGGGTCCTGCTCAGGGTCACCCAGCTGGTGCGTGGACTCTGGATGAGACAGGCCTGTGGGCCTGGAGTGCATGCCCTTGCAGGGGCTCTGGATGCCCAGTTTAGTCCCTGGCACAGCTGGGAGTACAGAGCCTTGGCCTGCTCCCAAGAGCCCTCGGGGGCAGGAGTAWGGGGTAGCGGAGATGGGCATGATTAGGACCTCACAAAGCCACAGAAGGTCCGGGGGCTGGATCCATTGTTGGTGGCCCTGACAAGACTCCTTTTGTGCCTGGCTGCGTGAGCCTGCCCAGGTCTGACTGCAGAGAGAACTTGGGCGAGAGGTGAAGCACAGCCCAGGATGCATGGTCTTTATCAYGGGGGTCTGATAAGGGCCCTGTGGGAGGGGCTGCTGGCTGGCTCCACTGATCTGGGCCTCTGARGAGCTTCTGTGGCGGCAGGAACAGGCTCTGGCCCCCGCCCCCATCCCCTGGCCACTTACTGCACAATATTGATCTGGTGCCYTCTCAGCCAAACCCTCCCTGCAGGCCTGCCTGTATTGTCTCAGCAGTCCTGGGGGAGGGCCGTGTGGCTCGGTGCCCAGACCCAGCCAGGGACGTTGGGTGTGGGGAGGATTAGAGGCCCTTACCCAATGCTGTGCTGGGCACTGCTCCTGAGAGGGCCCAGAGCCCAGTGTCCCCACACAGGTCGGGATTGCTGGTGGTGCTTAGAAACAGTCTGTTCTTAAGAAAAATGTGAACAATATTTATATTTTTTTTTAAAAGAAAAAAAAAAAAAGAAAAAGTCTGTTCTGATAGCTCTGCCCACAGGCCCACTCCTAGCCCAGATCTGCTGAATGACCCTGCATGGGCAACYCACCCTCTCTGGGCCTTCTGGGTGTATAATGGGAATGGTTCCATGTTCATTTACTTTTCAGGGGTGGTTGTGAGCATTCAGTGGGGTGATGAGACTGTGCTGCCTGGCCTAGGCTGGACTCTCAGGTGCTGTATGATGGCCTCTCTTGGGCATGTACTCCTTGGGCCCCTAGTCATCTTGCCCGGGGCCAGCCACTCACCTGCAGCATCAATAAATACTTTTAGGATGGATGGATGCTGGGGAGTGAATCCAGGAGCACGGATGGGACCTGGAGCTCAAGAAAGAAATGGCGGAGGGAACCACAGTGCTGGGGTCTCCTGCAGCAGCCCCGCCCTGTTCTGCAGATGGGAGGGGCCCTCATGGCCCGGGAAACCTCCTCCCTCGGGGCCTCATGGGGAGGGGCGGGGGAAGCAAGCCCTCKTTCACACCCTTCCCCTGTTCTGCCTCTTACTGATCCCTGAGAAACACTTTTTTTTTTTTTCTCTTTTGAATCAGGGGTTGAACCCAGAGGCACTTACCCACTGAGCCATATCCTTAGTCCTTTTTATTTTGAAATAGGGTCTCACTGAGTTGCTTAAGGCCTCACCAAGTTGCTGAGGCTGGTTTTGACTGGGATCCTCCTGCCTCTGCCTCCCGAGCCTCTGGGATTACAYGTGTGCACCGCGCGMCTGGTGAGGAACAGAGCTTCACGTGCTTGCTCACCCCGCTCTGAGACTCCAGGCTGAGGAAGAGGAGTCACCTTGTCAGGGGACAGTTTTAGTCACCACTAGGAGCTTCAGGGGCTTGAACTGGTCACAGCCTTGGGGACGGTTCCCACCTTTTGCGCAGTAGCACCAGGCCTTGGCAGGCTGGGGCTCCCTCACCTGGGGGCAGCAGCACCTGCCACGTTCCTGGGCTCCCTTCAAGCTGTTGCCCACCMCGTGTCCTCGCCTTCTGAGCTTGTCACATGTGATGCGGGGGTAGGGTGGCAGGAAACTCCCTCCTGGGCACTGGGGACAGGAAAGAAGCCCACAGCCTTGCAGGAGGTGTCTGCTGACACCTGGCTGGTTTGCTGGCTCTCGGCCAGAGTCAGGCAGGCGTCAGGGTCTCCTCCTCACCCAGAGGCTTGCCTGGCTGCTCTGTGCCAAGGCCACAGTTCTGCCTACGTCCCTGCTGCCCAAGAGGTGCCACCAGCTCTTGGCCTCTAGCTCGTCACTACAGCAGTGGCTGTGAGGSATTTGTCACCAGGAGGCTGAGGGTTCAGGGTTGACTGACAAGGAGACAGAAGTTCTTCATTCCCTGGGCGCTCGGAGGTGCCTGTCTGAGGGGGAGGGCCCACAGCCACCCTTGRAACTTTCCTGACTTTCCCCTGAGCTGGCCCTGGGACCAGAAGCCCCTGTGCCTCACCCCTCTGCTGGTTTCTGGAACTCTCTGCTGCAGACAGGCCAGCTCCTCTGCCCTCCCCTCTCCCCCTCTCTCCTGTCGCTGTGCAGACACCGCTAATCAGCCCCTCGGTGGCCTGTGATTGCGCTCCTGGAGATATTTTTACCTTATGCAAATAGGAAATGTAGAGGTGCCCTCACCGCAGCCAGCCCCCTCCCCCTCCCCCAGCTCGTGCCTCATGCCCTCAGAGCTGGCCAAGCTCGGTGGCCTCGCCCTCTGGGCCTCTCCTGGCATCTTCAGGAAAACTGTATCCACTAGTGGGGTGGACCCACTGTCCCCTGCCGCCACCACCACAGGAGTTTTGAGGAGAGTCGGTGCTTGGGAAAAGCCACAGCAGTGCCACGACACTGGCAGTGTGTGACAGAGCTCAGGAGGGCGGGGAGGGGCCGGAGCCACCTGGGCAGGGCCTGTCGGGCCTGGCTGGTGGCAGTGTTGTGAAGCCCACCCTTCCAGCCGGGAGCAAAAGGCTGCYAGGCCCAGAGAGGAGCGGGCGGGCCCCCTGGTTTCTATCACATCTCTTTATTGGGCACTTTTTATTTCATCCCTGTAGAGACCCCCAGATGGGGGCCCTAAAGCAACCCCCTTTTACCACGGAGATGCAGAGTCACATCTCGGGAGCAGCCAGGCCAGGCTTTGTCCTGCTGTGGAGCTGACGGTGGTTTCTCTGCTCCATGCCTCAGTGTCCCTGCTCTGTGCCTGCTCCCTGGGTCCTGAGAGGCCACCTGCACCAGCTGCACGCCAGCCTGCCATTCCGCAGTCCCCCATCCCAGCCTAGGTGCTGCTGGGCTGGGCTGGCGATGGCACAGGGCACTRAGGGCACAAGCACCAAGGAGCTGGAGGCACTGCAGGCGGGTGTGTGGGTGTGGCCCTGGCCAGGCAGCACAGGTGTCASTCCCCAGCAGCCACCATGTCCAGCTCTTGGCCTGCCTTGGACACCCCATGTGTACAGWCCTCGCCTTCCAAGTTGCTCAAGGAGTGGCCGTCAGCATGGGTGAGGAAAGGCCGGCAGGACACCCTTGCATGTGACTGAGGCCCCTTAGTCCCTGGCTTCTGCTGAGGGGCAGGGAGGTCGCCTTCCTCAGGGCTCAGCCTGGCTTACCTATGCTTCCGCCCTCCAGCTGCGACTGCAAATGTCACAGGGTGTAAAATCCTCCGTTGTGGGTTCTGGGTCTCCCCAGAGACCATAAATCCTGGAGGGTAGGACACTTCAGCCCTGTCCCCTAGGGCCTCCTGCTGCACGGTTCCCGGCTTAGGGATGGTGCTCCAAACATTTGGCTGGGTGGATGGATGGACAGATGGATGAGATTTGTCCAGCAAGTTCTGAAAGGGCTTGAGCACGCCCATTGTGTATCAGACACATTTCCCAGGCCGCCTCCCTCAAATCTCACCCCAACAACCCCATTCTTCCTCATTTTGCAGATGAGGAAACTGAGGCTCAGAGAAAGTACTTTATGGCAGGCAGAGCATGGTGGTGTGTGCCTCTAATCCCAGGTTAGGAGGTTTAGGAAGGAGGATTTTCAAGTTCAAGACCAGCCTCAGCAATTTAGCAGGACCATCTCAAAATTAAAAAATAAAAAGGGCTGGGGACATGATCCCTGGGTTCAATCCCCAGTAGTACCCCCCAAAAAAAGTTTGTGGCAGAGGACATCCTGACTTTAGGCCTTCGTCCCCAACTCTTAGACCCAGGTAGGCTGCTTGAGGCTGTCTGCCCTCTTCCCAAGAGGTCAGGGTTGCTCCAAGCCACCCTGAGGAGCTGGTTTTCCTACAGGTTGAGGCCCCAACAGATTCTGAACCCTGAGGTCCCCAGCAGTCACCTGGATTGGTAGGGGCCCACTCTGGAGGGACCAGTGTAATAATAATGACAGCTACTCTAGACTGTCCTCRCAGACACACCTTGTCCTCTAGGGCAGACAGACAGTCATCCCCTAAGTGAAGTATACGGCCTGTCAGATGGCAGTAAGAGGGAGGTGGGGCGCCGGGGACAGTCAGCGGGTCTTTTCTACATACCGTTGCCAGAGAACACCTTTCCCACCAGGTCATGTTGAACAGAACTGAAGGAAATGAGGATGCAAGCCATACCAATATGGCAGAGGAGGGSGGAGGGGGTATTCCAGGCAGTAAGAACAGCAAGTGCAAAGGCCCTGCAGTGGGGCCTGCCCAGCTGGRGTCAATAGTGGGAGTGGGGTCAGGTAGCGAGGGCTGTAGCTCCTGAAGAATGGGCTTTTCCTCTGAGCTCAGAGGTCATTTAGGGTTCCAGGCAGAGGACTTGTAAAGGCCATTCATTCTCTTTATATGGGAATAGACAAGGAAGGCGGGGACATGGACCGAGGCTGGGGGTGTGGGTTAGAGCTGCCGGTGAAGACTGTGCGTGTTTGGAGGGTGCAGGCCAGCTCTGGCTGACAGGATTGTGACTTCTTTGCAGAACTGGCTGCGGCTCTATGGTTACCTGCCCCAGCCTAGCCGCCACATGTCCACCATGCGCTCCGCCCAGATCCTGGCCTCGGCCCTTGCGGAGATGCAGCGCTTCTACGGGATCCCTGTGACGGGTGTGCTGGACGAAGAGACCAAGGCGTGAGTCTCTGGCCCCTCCCAGACCCCACGGGTGCCTCGGGCCTAGTCTCCTTAGGGCTTGGCATGTGGAGATTCCAGAAAAGAGTGGCCTAGATGAAAACAATTGYCAAGGATTCGGTCTTCCCTGCCCATTCCGACGGGTGGTAGTGGCTGCCTGAAGCTGTGTTGAGAAAGCTTCCGAGGCGGAATCCAGACTTGGCAGAGGGGGTCTCGGGATTGGCTAGTGATGTCTGCCACAGGCATGGGAAGGGGGAGGCGCAGTACACAGCCCTGGCCAGGATAGGCTGTCMTAGTGGGGCCTTATTCTGAATCTAAGAGGTCAGGTGACCCAAAGCCACATCCTTGAGAAGCACTGGACAGAACATACCGAGGACAGGTGGCCTTAAGAGCTGTTCTGAGTGCACTGGTCAAAAGGGACTTGCCCTCATTGAGTCACTGCTGGACACTCCGCCTTCCAATATAAGATCATTTTGCCCAACTTCACTGGAAATAAAAGCTGAGGGTCCCCACCCCTGTCCCCTCCATCCTAGGAGCAGTTGGGAGGCTGGAGGGGCCTGGAAGGGGGTGGGCTGCCTGGAGGCGGAGCCGACACAGGCACGTTCTGAGCTCACCCTGCCCGCCTGTGGCCCAGGTGGATGAAGCGGCCCCGTTGTGGGGTGCCAGACCAGTTTGGGGTGCGAGTGAAAGCCAACCTGCGGCGGCGGAAGCGCTACGCCCTCACCGGGAGGAAATGGARCAACCACCACCTGACCTTCAGGTARGGGCCTGCTGCCCAGGGCAGCKTCCAGCCCTCTTGGTGGCTGAGCCCCAGGCTTCCTTTCCCAGCAACTCACCCTGGGGGCCGTCTAGACGGTCTCCCACGCTGGGGAGAGCAGCCATGCATTCTAGGATCTCTCCAGAGAGGGTCAGGACCCCTGGAGCTACTTCCTCTCTGCCCTTCCCTGCCTCCCACTGTTAGCAGTCCTGGCCTTAGGCGGCCACAAGGGGCTCCAGTGGAGTCGGGGTGGGGGTGGGGGTGGGAATCCAGGCACCTGTCTTGAGCAGAGCAAGTCACCTGCAGAACTCCTGAGCAGAGTCCCAAAGGACTCCTGTTCTAGCTCAGCCACGCCCCCTGCCCAGCTCCATCCARGAAAGAACAGCTCCCAAGACCTTGTAGACCTCCAGCCCCCGAGTGAGTTCACGATCAGGTGGCCTCCCCTGCCCGTTTCATGGAAGTCTTGACCTGATTTACCTGGACAGCAGGTGCTCTCACCTTCATTGCACGCAGGTTCAGTGCTACAAGTCCTTGGAGAGTTATTCTGTTCAGTCCACACAGGGACCCCTGGAACAAGTACTACCCACCCCTCCCATCTGACAGATGAAGAAACATTCAGAATCTAAGTCACTTGCCCAAGGTCACTCCAAGGGTATTAGAGCCAGGCCCTGAACTTGGGTCTGCCTGGCCAGRGGGTCAATGTTCAGGGCAGCTTGGCCTGTCTCCCAAACCTCAGCCACCTGCATCCCATTTCCTAGGTCTTTCCCCAGCCACGAAGCTTCTGTGCTCTTATTAACTTATTGTCTTTCTTACTTATAGTCAGCTTCTGTRCCACAGTGTAGAATTTTAATTTGACAAATGCTAACTCACCTCAAAATAAACTAATGGTTGGTCCTGACCGTTTTGTGTGCGTTTCTTGGGAACTTGTCAGCAGAGGACAGTAGCCCTGGGGCCTGCATCCGCTCACGACCTTCCCACCCACCCACAGCATCCAGAACTACACCGAGAAGCTGGGCTGGCACCACTCGCTGGAGGCCGTGCGCAGGGCTTTCCGTGTGTGGGAGCAGGCCACACCCTTGACCTTCCAAGAGGTGCCCTATGAGGACATCCGGCTGCGGCGGCAGAAGGAAGCCGACATCATGGTACTCTTTGCCTCTGGCTTCCACGGTGACAGCTCGCCATTTGATGGCATGGGCGGCTTTCTGGCCCACGCCTATTTCCCTGGCCCTGGCCTGGGTGGGGACACCCATTTCGACGCAGATGAGCCCTGGACCTTCTCCAGCACTGACCTGCATGGTGAGGACAGCTGGCCAGGGTGGGGGCAGGGCCAGCAGCTCCTGGGCTAGGCATGGCCCCTTTGAATGGGTGCAGCAGCTGCGGGGTCAGGAAGGGAGAGTRTCCCCTGTTTGGGTCTCTGGAGACCTGCACTAACCTTGGTCTGTTGTCCCACCWTCTCCAAGGGAGGTAGGTAGAGAAGGGTTTGCTGTACCCATTTCTCAGGTGGGGGAATTAGGGGTCAGAAGAGAGAAGCCAGGGTGGGCTCTGGGCAGCCTCGGCCTGGAGGTGTCGGGTGGCCAGGTTCTGGGATGGGTCAGAGTGACCAGGCTGCCTGCCCTTCCTGCAGGGAACAACCTCTTCCTGGTGGCCGTGCATGAGCTGGGCCACGCGYTGGGCCTGGAGCACTCAAGTAACCCCAATGCCATCATGGCCCCCTTCTACCAGTGGATGGACACAGACCACTTCCAGCTGCCCGAGGATGACCTCCGGGGCATCCAGCAGCTCTATGGTGAGTGGACGGTGACTAGTCCCTGCCTGCTGTCTTCCCCAGCCCAGGAGACGTAGGCACCGTAGCCCTGCGCTCTGTAGAGGAGGAACGGGATCAGTGACGGAGCCACGCCACTCGGGAAGTGGTYGTGTTGGAAATGGAACCCGGGGCGACCGATGTCGGGGCCTGGCCTCACCCAGCATTGCACGGTGGCTCCAGGCCGGGTGCTGGAGGAGCCACTAGACGCAGGGTGCCCTAGGATCCCAGGACCCACAGCCACCGCCATTGCTCCCTCCTCACCTGTCACAGGCCCTCCCCTGAGTGTTGCGAGTTAGTCATTTTCCCAGTGGCTTTGAGGCAGGTGCCAGTTCCCACCTGGCAAAGCCTCCAGCGGGGAGGGCCCCTGAGGGCCAGTGCCCTGGGCAGAGCCCACACTCTGCTCACACTGAGCCCTCCTGAGGCTGCAGGCCTGGCCTTGCTGGGGAACCTGAGAGACCCCCTACTGCCCGCATCCCCAGCCACTGACATGCACTTGGCAGGGTTCAAGGTCCCTGAGGCCAGAGCTATGCCCTTGCCTGCAGGAGTCCTGCTTCCTAGTGAGGCATCCTGAGGCAAGGGGCCCCAGGGGAAACCAAGGCAGGCAGCCTTGGGGTACAGTGACCYCAGCCCAGTGGGGAGGTCCAGAAAGGGACTGTGTGAAGACTCAGGTCCCTCTGAGGATGATGGTGAGCATGGGCGAGGGRTCTGCTGTGGACAGGCAGGCCCATGGCTGCCCCTTCCTCCCACCCCGTCCCAGGACTCTGGGYAGAGATGCTGCTCCTCTCAGGCCTGCAGCCGCCCTCTTACTTCTTGCTTCCTGCCTTTGGCTGCAGGCACCCCAGATGGCCAGCCACAGCCCACCCGGCTTCTCCCTACCGTGACACCCCGGCGACCAGACCACCGACCTCCTCGGCCCCCCCAGCCACCTCCCCCAGGCGGGAAGCCAGAGAGGCCCCCAAAGCCGGGCCCCCCTGCCCAGCCCCGAGCCACAGAGCGGCCTGACCAGTACGGCCCCAACATCTGCGACGGGGACTTTGACACAGTGGCCATGCTTCGTGGGGAGATGTTCGTGTTCAAGGTCTGGTCCTGGTGCCTCCCCCACGCCCAGCCCCTTGGCCCAGGCTCAGAGCAGGAGAGCTCCCGCCCAGTCCACCCGAGCCTCACCAGCCTGGCACCTTGGACACCCTTGTCCCTCCCTCACTGAGCAGCCCCAAGGGGCYATCAGACCCTGGATGAGGGACTTGCTAAGGGTCACATGCAACCTGGGGCTGTCCTGGCTCTGCCTAGCTCCTCAGGGTCACAGTGACTCCCCCAGGCCCTCCCTGACCTGGGCAGGGGGGTGAGGGYCAGGCCTCCCCAGGCAAGGCACAGCTGCCCACCAACACCACGCCCCTCCCCAGGGCCGCTGGTTCTGGCGAGTCCGGCACAACCGTGTCCTGGACAACTACCCCATGCCCATTGGCCACTTCTGGCGTGGTCTGCCCAGCGACATCAGTGCTGCGTACGAGCGCCAGGATGGCCGTTTTGTCTTTTTCAAAGGTGAGCTGGGGCCGGCGTCGGGGAGGGGCTGGGCAGCTTCCTGCCCTGACCTCTGGCCCAGCTGGACCTGAGGGAAGAGGAGGGGTAGAGGGCTGTGGGTCCCGTCTCCATCTGTGTCCCCACTCTGAGCTCACTCTGGGAGGATGGGGACACCTGAGGGCAGTGACCGMACCTAGTGGCAAGGGGTGGGGAGGCAGATAGAGGCCAGGAGTATCAGGTGGACCTGGGACTGTGGAGTCTGAAGCCTCAGATCAGGGGTGAGTGTCTGTCCCTCTTTGGCCRCACAAGGTCATGGCCCCATAAGAGCAGGTCCTCAGGAGAACAGGTCCCCAGGCCACTTTGGGGCAGGAATTCTGCAGTCTAGCTGCAGGCCCTGAGGGGCAGGGCCCTGATGGACGRCTGAGTCTCCAGCCCTGCTAGCTCCAGCCCAGGGGAGGTTGGAGGTCCCAGGGGACACAGGGCCACTAAGGTGACCTGGGGCCAGGCAGAGGCCCCACTCCCCTACCTGTGCAAGAACTCTGAGGGGGTTCCCATGGGGGTGAAGGGCTGTGTGGGTGCGTGGGTGTGTCTGGGTGTGAGTGACTAACTTGCACACGTGTGTGTCGCGGGTGTCTGTGACAGCGCAGCTTCCAGGGTGTGGACCTGGGGAGGTGTGCTGTACATGGTCCTGGCRTGCGGATGTCCACCTGTCGAGTGGACAGTGCCGAGTTCTTCTGTGCGYGTGTTGAGATGATGGGTTTGTGGGCCCAGAGAAGCACTTCCTGAACCCCCCCTCGCACAGCCTCCCCCAGGCCCCCCCTCACCCACCTCCCACCCCTCCTGCAGGTGACCGCTACTGGCTCTTCCGAGAGGCGAACCTAGAGCCTGGCTACCCACAGCCGCTGACCAGCTATGGCCTGGGCATCCCCTATGACCGCATCGACACGGCCATCTGGTGGGAGCCCACGGGCCACACCTTCTTCTTCCAGGAGGACAGGTGAGTGGCACACCCCTCCCCGAAAGGGGGGAGGCCCCAGCCAGACTCCCCTGCCCCCTGMAAGGCCCCACAGTAAGAGCCCACTTCCTGAGGGGGTGGGCCCTGCCCAAGCCCTGCCCAAGCAGGGTCTCCAGGTCCATCGCCGGTGCTTCCCGTCACAGGTACTGGCGCTTCAACGAGGAGACTCAGCACGGAGACCCCGGCTACCCCAAGCCCATCAGCGTCTGGCAGGGGATCCCCGCTTCCCCCAAAGGGGCCTTCCTGAGCAACGATGCAGGTACCAGGCCAGCCCC